GCGCGGTAATGGGGAGAAGCCTGGAGATGGGAAGACACATCCTTGCCCCTGAATTGCGTATTTGTCAGGAGAGGTAACATCCCCATCCCCAGATGTGGGTTAGAAAAGCCAGTGCTGCCAGCAATGCCTTGGTGGTGTCAGGAAGAAAGGGGTGGACGGACAGTTTGATTTCTGAGTCTTGGGCATGCTTCCTTTTCATGTAGCTAGTCACCATTTCTTATTCACAACTTTCATAAACCCCTACTCCTTTTCCCTCCCTACTAGCCCCTTCACGTTGTTGTCACTTCTTAAACCTCCTTGTCTTTGGGAGCCTTGTTCCCCACCTGTATTCTTCCCCCTTGTTGTATGCCCTGGCGCCTGTTCCCTTCAGCCCAGCTCCTCCAGTAAGCAGCATCTGCTGGGAGCACCCCAAAAGGAGTCAGGGTCTGGTGAGCCCCATGGGGACCAGAGCATGATCGCAGGGTGATGGGTGGACAATGACTAAAGCACAGGTGAATCTATGATAGGGTGATGTCACCTAGAGGAATGAACTGGGACAGGTTCCCACTCTATCCTAATTGTCTCTGTAATAATCAGGTGGTAAATGCAGCAACCCCAAAGCCCAGCTAAAGCGAAATGGGGCGGAGAAGCAGGTATTTTATTTTAGCACAGAAAAGCCCCAGAACCTTCTCCTACTACCCTTGCCCCCAAGAACTCCCCTTTGGAGAGAGTCTGCTTCTGGCTTCCTCCACTCCCATTCTCTGTTTCAGATGCACACACACATTCAGCCAGCCCTGTATCTGAATTTCCCAGTCTGTCACTCCGCTCTGTGGACATGTTAATACCGAAGCAGTGGCTTATATGCAGAAAAGATGGAAGGGGAGAGAAGGAAGGAAAGTGGCTGTCCCTAGTCCCTGTCCCCTTCACTTCTCAAATTAAAAGCTCCAATTCTAACAAACCAGGGTGGGGTGGAATTAGTTATTCTGATGATGCCAAAAATGCCAGTTATAAACACAGGCAGGAGGATAGAAACTGGCCTACTGTGGTCTTGCTGCCACCTTCTCTCACCTGTCAACACCTCTCTCACATCCTTCCCTTCCTCCCTATCCCTTTTCTCTCTCCTGTTGAAATTCTATGTATAAAACTATTTTCTTAGCAGCATGTGTATGAAGAAAGAAACTTTTTTTCACTCTTTGCTTTCTGGGAATGTGACTTGTGTATAAAAGTTGAAAACAAACCAAACATCTTTTTTGAAGAATAGGAAAAAAAGGAAACATTTTAAAGAAAACCTTGGCAAACACCGGGTATGGGATGATCAGAGTTGTGCTGCCATGCATTTTAGGGATTTGCAGCCAGCATAGCTTGGCTTTAGTTAGAACCAGGAATGCTTTCACCGGGAGTTAATATAGCCAGAAATTCCTCCTCCTCTGGCTATATTACATCATCTTTTACACCCAGATACCCTGGCCTGGCCATACCAGGGACGTTCACAACTGTAGTCAGGAGCAGCTGTCCTTCCCAGGAACCTGTGACTTGGGGGACAAGAGCCTGGCTGCATCTGCTGACTTGGGTCGATCAACATGCTTCTGGAGGGTACACCACTCCATGTTCCCAGCGGCCGGAAGCATTCCCCCAACCCTTCCTCAGCCCAGGAGGCCTCAGCGCTCCCACTCCAGAGCAGCTCAGTGAGCAATTCTGATGGACAGAATGCTAGAGGTGAACACCTGGTGCTTCTGTGCAGTAGTAAACCCAGCTCAAGTGCCTGACACAGCAACACCTATTTTGTAGATAATGCCACAGCCCTAAAGTGAGCCTAAATTGGTGGTTCCTAAGATTGGTCTTCCATGGCTTGGGGCATAGGCCTAGGGTTTCTGATATAGTGGGTCCTAAAACATCAAACTTCTGGTCCACTCTACTTACTGCCAGAGTCAGTACCAGAAGATGGGGTGGAAATGATCTTGGCTGTCTTTGCTCTAAATCAGTCTGGGTAGGGATGACTTAAGGTGCCCAACTCTTAAGTGGGAACAAAATCAAAGTCTGTCTACAGAAGACCATGAGAAAATCTGAAGCCTCAGTGGCCAAATGGGGCACAGTCTGCAATAAGAACACAAAAAGACACCTGTTCTTCCCCTCCCCTCCCCTCTAGCTCCTGACTAGATGAAGCATGCACAAGAACAGAAAAAAACGATTATTTGGGGCACAACAGCACCTACCTCCTTACTTCCTTGTATTTGTTCCTTAACCACTTTCAGGGCTTATAGACCAGATCACTGATTCCCAAAATCGTCACCACCCTGATCTGCTTTGAGAGACATTCACTCAGGCAATCATTCAGTCACCCCTGTATAATATTCCCACCTGAAGTACAGAGCTCTATATATAACTGCACCAACAAAACAAGCAAGCACACCCTCAGAAATAGCAGAACCGTGCAGAGAGAGCTGTAGGGATACCCACAAATGTAGCAAGTATAGGGCACAAGGGACACGTCCCAGACCCATCACCAACGCTCCCCTAAGTAGAAACACTCCCAGTACATATTTTCTTCACACAACAGTAGGTAGGAAAAAGGTTATACACAAGGAGTGTAACATGCCAGGAAAAGTAACCGAACGTGGAACATGGGGAAAGGACCTTGCATTCCTTTGGAGTGTGACACTAGGGAGGAGAGGGATGTAGAAATCAGGAAACTTTGGGGAAAACTTATATGCGACACTGACATAAACTGGGCCAGGTAGTGGGGAGCATTTCTCCCCAGGTTGTGGTGAGGAGCTCAAACCACCAGTGAGAAGCAATAGTGAGAAACTTGTAAGCCAGGAGGATGACATTTCTAGAGTTCTGAGTAAGGAAGAAACGCCCCCAATACCAAGAAAGCTCTTGCTACAACAAAGGTATAGACTCAGCCCTAGCCAGTTTGGCTCGGTGGACAGAGTCTGCCTGCAAACTGAAGGTTCCCAGGTTTGATTCCAGCCAAAGGCACATGCCCGGGTTGCGGGCTCAATCCCCAGTAGTAGTGGCATGCAGGAGGCAACCGATCAATGTTCTCTCTCCATCACTGATGTTTCCATCTCTCCCTTGCCCTTCCTCTCTGAAATTAATAATAAAAAATATTAAAAAAAAAAAAAAAAGGCACAGACCCAGCCTCAGGGTCATTATAGCTTGGATACATTGTGAAAAGATTCAGATGAAAGAAAAGCAAGGGAGGGGATGTGGGTAAAAGACCTAGACTACCCTCATAAAGTTTTCAGAAAGATGGGAAGTGATCCTCAGGGAACGCCCAGGGAGAGACTAACTTTATGGGAAGAACATATATGTGGTGTGTATGCTCCATAAAGACGACCCAGAAAGCCTTCCACATAAATGACAGACGGGTAAATGGCAATATTCCGTCAGTGAGCCCGGTGTTTCTTGCAGCTCCCTAGCCAGGGAGAGGTTACCTGGCTTGAAGCTAGTGGGAAGCAGATGATTATCAGTGGACCAGAAAGAAGGTGAGGGGGAGAGGTGACCTGAGATTGACTCATAATCCTTCCCAACCATACACACATTCCTACACAAACCATGGCTACAACGCCAGGACAAGCACGCGGGCGCTGCGCACCGCCCCACCTCTGCCCGCACCACGTCTTCTCCACTGGGAGGAGCCGCGCTGTGCTCACTCCTGGACAGCCCACCAAGTGCTCAAACCACAGCATCATCTGCAACTTGCTGAGTATCGGCAAGGCCCAGCACTATGCTCACCTACTTCCGACACCGGGTCCCTGACCTGCTGCGAGAGAAGTGTAACCAGGACCCGTCCCGTACTGAGACACAGAATCCACACCAATCTGACCAGATCCCGGAGAGCGGCTTCCTGGTAACTCCTCGCTCGTGGTTCTTATGGTGAGGTTTTAGAAACGCACAGTAGCCAACCACCAGGATCTGGGGTGAGGGGAAGAGGGCATTTTGAAAGAGTTCCATAAGGGAGTCTTCTGTGATAATTACTCTAATTGGGGTTCCATTGAGAAATTCCTAAACACGAAATCTCCTTGAACAGTTTTTCTGGAAGGAGAAGTCCGAGGTGCCTTTGTCATTCTAACGCCTGCCTATCTCTCTAGACCCAGAGCACCTCTCCATCTTCCTAGGACTGTTATGGAATATGGGCCTTGGAAAAAGGGAGAAAGAACTGGTCCATCTCAACCACAGCTCAACCAATCATAAAGCACAGGGCAGAACAAAATCCGTGTAGGAACAAGCCACCTCACACCCAACAGCAAGGCCTGCGGGTCTCTCCTTCCTGCGTCCTCCCTTCCACGCTCTTCTGGCGCCATCGCTGTGACAACAGCGGGCTGGCCTCTCTCCAGGACGTCACTTCGCCCTCCTAGGATTGTCTTCTAACCTTGCTGACCAAAAATGGATAGCCCACTGGCCTGCAGCCTGGGGTACGGCTTCCACCTGTGCCCTTGTCCCTCTGTGCTCCAGCTTCCATTGGAATAGCTGTTTAAACCAAGAGTGGCACCACCTAAACCCCTTTCTTGGGGCTGTGAGGGTAGGCAGGACGTGGCTGCCTAGTTGGAGGAAGGCGGAGTTGGGATGGGCTGGAGAGTGCTGATTCAGCCCCCGATGGGGCATCGCCCTCCGATGCCAGGCCCCAGCAGAGCTCCACCCAATGCCTGGCTTTGCTGCCCACTCTTTCACGGCCACCAAGTGGCGGTTGTGAGCATGTTTGGTGGCTTTGGGTTTGCCGCAGTGCCAGGATCTGAGACTGTTCACGTGCCAGTGCAGCACTGCCAAGCGTGGCAGCATCTAGTTGGTTGGGTGCCAAGCAATAAGACTCAAGCGGTGACAGGGTGATGAAAGAGGGGTCAGGTAAAGGGAGTGGGAGGAGAGAAAGGCCCCAGAGAGAAAATCAGACACCTCACTTGTTAGAGTGGAGAGTCCCAATGGGACCCACAGAAAGGTGCCCATCCCATTCTAGACCCCAGTTCAGCAAGCAAGCCCTCCCCTCCCCTCCCCCACCCGCCCGCACAGTAACAGATACAGACCGGGCAAGAGGGTCTGGCCATCTTCAGCGGGAACTGGCTGGGGGCCAGGCAGGACTGCCAGCTTCTCCATCCTTCTTCCTTGGGGGTCTTGGCAATGGCGCACTTCCTCCTTTGTGTCCTCACGTCACTCTCCTTCTGTCGCCCCACTCCCCATGCCTAAGAGGGAATGGGAAGGAGGTCCTGGCAGAAAAAAGTCACACACACACACACACACACACACACACACACACTCACACGCACACGCGCGCGCACACACCTCGCCTCCTCTCGTCTCACTTCTGGCACAACCCTCTTAACCAGATTGGCAAGAGGCACTGCCACCGTCCCCCATTCCTAACAATGCCAGAGCCATGCCAGGCTCCTTGGGCAATGCCAGCATCCACCCACCTCATACCCAGGTCCCCTGGCCTCTTCTTAGTGCTCTCACAAAGGGCCAGACTGCCAGCCCCATGGGCTCTCCCTGGGGAGCCATGGCAGTCCCTTCTCCTGGCTCTTAGGTGCTTTCTTGGCACTTCCCTGGCTTCCCTCCACCACTTTACCTTCCCAGCGTAGAAGAGGACTAACTACCCCACCGTCCAACCGCTTCTCAGAGCTAAGCTGTAGAGGACACCAGCCAATGTCCCTGCCCCTCCTCCCCACCTCCTGGGGCCCGTTTCCACGGCCCAGCTCGAGGCACCAACCTGATGGATGTGATGCCAATGGCTCCCGGGCACCAGCCTTCCTCCCAGAGCACCAGGACTCCCGTCGCTGCTCCCTCCCCACTCGCCTCCTTCCATCTCCTCGGGCACAAGGGTGGCAGCTGTAATGCCAATGCCTGTAAGCAGGCAGCATGAAGCAGCTCATGTTTCCTCTTCCGCCCTCCCAGGCCCACACCTCTCCCCTCCTTCCCCTCCGTCCCTCTGTCCTTCTGGTTGGACACTAGGTTGGCAACCGCAGTTATTCAACCCCCACCCATGCCCAGGAGGCTCACATACAGCACGCACTTATGCATACATGTACATGCGCGCACACACACACGCACACACACACACATGGCCCCATGAGTGCCAGGCAGCGGTGGCAGACACACAGCAATGCATAGTGACTGGTATACCCGAGGAGTCACCCAGATTCAGCACCTGATCCAACACCCATTTGAGATCGGGTGGGTAGGCGGCGGGCAGGCGGGCGGGCGGAGGGGAGATGGAGGCAGCCGATGGCCCTAGGTTGGCAGCCGATGGAGCCGGGAGAATGGAGGGAACAGATGCTCTTTGCCCAGCCTCCCTCCCGCTCTCTCTGAGATCAGTGCCAAGCTGGGGGGATGGGGAGAGGGGAGGATGGGGGAAGGGTGGCATTTGGAAAGCTGGCAGGCGGGGGTAGGTGGGTCCGCCCAGGCTGGGCAGTGCCGGCACTGGCTGCCGCCTCTCCACTCTGCCATCTGTCTCGCTTCTCTCCCCACCCCTTTTCTCTCTTTCTCTCTCTCCTTCATCCACAGCAAAACGAAAGAGGAAAGCAGGGTCCTCATTCAGCACACCCCCAACCTCTACCAGACCCCCTCTCCTTCCCACAACTCACCACACCATACCACCACCAAGCCATCTGTGCTCTCTCCTCCTGGCTCATCACCTTCTTTCATTCGCCTTTGCCCTCACACCAAAACAGGTGCAATATTAAAAAATATATATGCATATATATTTTAAAAAGCAACTTAAAAGAAAAACTCTTTTCTTTGGGGATGTCCTGTCCTTCTGCGCCTGGGTCCTCGGTGCCAATGCTTGTGGCAGGCAGTGAGGGACCCTGTCCTCAGCTGGTGCCCATGATCCCATGCCAGGGAGGAGGGGAGGCTGGGGTGGGGTGGGGGTGGGGTGGGGTATCGGGAGAGCGCTCTTCTCTCTGCGCCTGTGGTGGCTTCTTTTTTTTCTCTCCTCTTCCACTTCCGGAGCAGATTCAAATAGACCCAGAGCCTTCCCCACCCCCAGTTCCCAGGGCCCTTGTGCCCTTCTCTCTCTGCTTTTGATTTTATTCCTCGATCACCCTTTCCTTTTTGTGTGTGTGTGTGTGTGTGCGCGCGTGTGCGTGCCTGTGTTTGCATCCATGGCGGTGGGCACCGTGCCAGCCACCGCACAGCCATCTGCGATGCCTTCTGCAGTCTCCGCTATTTCTCCCTGCCACCTCCAGCCCCCAACTCCCTGCACCCCAGCTCCCCACCCCCAGTCCCCAATCATTAATTAGCTACTGAATTAATTAAATCGAGAATGCTAATTAACATTCCTAAAGGGCAGGCTGCCAGCCTGGGGGGGTGCACATAGAGGGGACGTAAAGAGGAGATTTGGGTGGGGGAGGAGGGAGAGCCTGTCTGCTGAGGAGGAGATGGAAAGAGGAAGAGATGGAAAGAACCCAAAAGAATGAAAGAAAAGGAGGTGTCAAGGCAGGGAGAGAAGGGGCACGGAAAAGGGTAAAAACTGCCCAAGTCCAAATGAGCTCAGCCTTTCCCACCCAAAGAAGACACAGCCAGCTCCTCCTCCCCAAGCTCACCTTTCCTCCTGGCCCATCTGGAAAAGGGTATATTCGCAGGGTGGGGAGCTCCGGCAGTTTTTTCTCTCTCTCAGAGAAAACAACCCCAAGCCAGAGAGACAACAGCGAATCCCCATCAATCCGGCCAAGTGACTCTCAGCCCAGGTCACAAGAGGAGGGTCCAGGCTCAGAGAAGCCCATTGCCTGGCCTGTTGCTACCCCTTTGCCAAGGTGAAGAGGGCATACTGTGAGCATCCGCTGCAGAGAGACTCAGGGGATCGATATGGGGAACAGGTATCAATTCAATAAGGATCAATAACAATTAGTAGAAAAATCACTGACGATGCCTGCAGCTGCCCAGGAAGACAGTGAGTAAAGAAGTCTGCCTCTGGGACTGCAGAGTAGGAAAAGTGGATGCTCCTACCCCAGCTGGAAGGCCAAGGACTTCAGGGAAAGTGAGTTGTTGTTTTTCAAGAAAGTGAGGTGCCAGTAGAGTAGAACGTATTTTGGGGCGGTGTCCTGTGAAACACTAATCTGATGAGATGCTCCTCAAAGAATGGATCCCACGATCAAATTACTTGGGAAGGCCCTAACCAGTTTGGCTCAGTGGATAGTATTGGCCTGCGGACTGAAGGGTCCCAGGTTCGATTCCGGTCAAGGGCATGTACCTTGGTTTCGGGCACATCCCCAGTAGGGGGTGTGCAGGAGGCAGCTGATCGATGTTTCTCACTCTCTCTCCCTCTCTCTCTCTGTAAAAAAAAAATCCATAAAATATATTTTTAAAAATTAATTTGAGAAATACTGTGTACAGTATTCCATCTCTTAATTAAGAGATTCAAAATGTGTATTGGTGTGTTAAAGGCTCTGAGAAATGTAAAAAAAAAAAAAGAAAGAAAGAAAGGAAGGAAGGAAAACCTTAATTTGTTTAACCCACTGATTCTCAAAGTCATTGGGCCATGGAACCTTCATTTTTTACATTTCTAATTTAATTAATTCTATTCCCACAGTAGCAGTGTTCTGCTATGAGGAAAGCTCTCCTAAGTGATCAGGGTGGCTCTGGCCTGGAAGCTGGCAGATGGAGGAGCTGGCTCCAGGTCAGCTGAAGTTTAATGCTTCCTGAGCACCAGGCCCTGGTCTTCCGACCATAATGCAGGAAGGCACCAACCCAGCTCCTGGGAGAAACCAAACCCATACTTAGAAACACAGATCTACACTGTCAGAGCTGGGAAGAGATCTTGGCAACCATCAGTTTTACGGTAGAAGCAACTGAGATTCAGAGAGGTGAAGGGGTTTGTCCAAGGTCACAGAGCCACTAGATGACAGCACTGACATTAGGACCAAGACTTCCTGACCTCCAGCCTAGCTCTGTTTCTCTATTTTCTGTTATTAAAACTCCAGGACAAAGCCAGCATGGAATTTATCAGTTATGTTGGATTTTTTTTTCTAGATTTCTTTTTTAAAAAAATATATTTTTATTGATTTTTTTTTACAGAGAGGGATAGAGAGTCAGAAACATTGATGAGAGAGAAACATCGATAAGCTGCCTCTTACACGCCCCCCACTGGGGATGTGCCCACAACCAAGGTACATGCCCTTGACCGGAATCGAACCTGGGACCTTTCAGTCCTTTTAAGGAGCTTTATGGAGACCTCCTTTCCCTCTGCTGGGCCTGGCCTTTCCCACCCCTGCCCTTTACCTCCACTACCTCTGGAAGCCTGAAGCATCAACCTGCCTCTGGAGAGTCTACTCTGTACTCCCTGTGGGCGCAGGTGGGGAAGGGGGCCAGAGTCACACAAAATCTCCCCACGTGTTCCTGATACTCGGATTCAAAACTTCCGTTCTCAGAGCTCTGCCCTCTCTTCTTAGGATGACCCTGCCCCAGTATCTACTAATGTCATTGTTATCAACCCAAACATGCCCTCACCCCCTTCTGTTCAGGGAACTCCAAATGCCTCATGGCCAACTCCGCAGTATTCCTAGACTTTCCCTTTCCATCCTCTTTTTGGCATCTGCAGCCCGAGGCGCTTAGCTGCTCCATCAGAATCCTCAGGAGGATAGGCTTGTAGGCACAGGTGATTCACAAGAGGAGACTGGGGAGCCAGCCTCGGAGACCTGCCAGGGCCTCAGCCGCCCAGAGCTGTAAACATCCATTTTCCTGCCACAGCCCGAGGCCATCTTTTCCCTCCAAGCCATTCGGCAGCTGGAGAACAATGAGGATGGGTGGAGTCTAGCTCATTTCAAAGGTTAAAGAACATTATTCAATTGCTTTTGCTTCTGGATCCCACTGTGTGAGCCTACACCACCTCACACCCACCATCCCAGTCCGCAAACCCCCCACAACTTCACAAGAATGATGACTCTCTTCACAAGGTAAATGGCCACACCGTTTAAAAGAGAATAGTTGTTTTTTTAAAAATATATATACATATATATATTTATTGTTTTTTTACAGAGAAGAAGGGAGAGAGATAGAGAGCCAGAAACGTCAATGAGAGAGAAACATCGACCAGCCGCCTCTTGCACACCCAGTACCAGGGATGTGCCCGCAACCAAGGTACATGCTCTTGCCCGGAATCGAACCCGGGACCCCTCAGTACGCAGACCGATGCTCCACCACTGAGCCAAACCGGCTTCGGCAAAAGAGAATAGTTTTTTGCCCTCACAGGTTTGGCTCAGTGGATAGAGCATCAGCCTGCAGACTGAAGGGTCCCAGGTTCTATTCCAGTCAAGGGCACATGCCTGGTCGGCAAACTCATTAGTTAACAGAGCCAAATATCAACAGTACAACCATTGAAATTTCTTTTGAGAGACGAAAACCGACTTCTGTGCATGGGCCACGAAGTTTCAATCGCACTGTGTGCACCCGTACACACTCAAGGGGCCAAAGAGCCGCATGTGGCTTGTGAGCTGCGGTTTGCCGACCTCTGGCCTAAGTGACCATTACGACCAGTCAACCGGTTGCTATGACACGCACTGAGACTCAGTGCAGGAGCTGCACCCTGGTGGTCAGTGCGCTTCCACAGCCAACCTCCCCTGGCCAGCTGGCCCCGATTGCTCTGATTGCCAGCCAGGCAGAGGGATCCCACCTGTGCATGGATTCATGCACCAGCCTCTAGTCTGTATGTATAT